AAATGTTTGTATTTTTAACTATTATGAAACGGCAAAGAGCTTAATTTCGAAAGTAAAGATGATTTTATAATAAATTATAAATGCTAATAACAAGTAAAATATTAAGTCTGACCCTACAAAGATAAACACGATTCGCATTTTCTTCCAATCTTTCGACTATTAATCACAAAAGTTTAATAGTGTCATTCGCTCAAATACACAAACTTTCCTATAAAATTTTCAGAAATTTTCGACAAAAAACACGGAAGTTATTAAGCCTCAAAGAAGCTGAACAAATTCCCCACACACATTAACATCCATAAATACATAAACTACCCCCGAACTTCACTCATTTGTTGACAATTCAACTTTGAATCGAAAATTGTAAACATTTTGGAGCAGTAATTTTTTGATCGATCGCTATACTTTATCTCTGTTATATATAACAAAGCCGGTAAAGTAACAATCAAATTTAATATCGTATAAATAATTTGAATATGACAAACTCTACATAAATTATTCTTTAATATTTAACCTATTATTTGAATAATTTAATTATAAAAATTTAGTGTAAAAATTAAACTTCATATGTACTGTACATGTATAAAGTTATAAAATGTGGCATTTTAACTGATAAACAGGCTACATTTCTGTTTACATTATATCTAATTAATGTTTCAGGTTTTTAATTAAAAAATAAAAAATTCGAAAAACCGGTTGAGTATGTAAGTTTAATAAACGATTTTTCGATAACATTGAAACTCAATTGTTGTTATTCGACGTTGGTATTAACACGTTGTAGAAAATCTGCAGTATAAAAGTATTACGAGGTAAGAATCGTGAAATATTCGTGACTATGAGATTACAGATGATTCGAGAAATCTTATAATTAATCTACAATAAGCATAGCAAAGTTAACACGTAAGTTTATTGATTTAGTTAAGGATAATTAATTTTTCATTAATTTANATGTACTGTACATGTAAAAAGTTGTAAAATGTGGCATTTTAACTGATAAATAGGCTACATTTTAGGTTACATTATATTCAATGAATGTTTCAAAATTTTAATTAAAAAATAAAAAGTTCGAAAAACCGGTTGAGTATGTAAGTTTAATAAACGATTTTTCGATGACATTGAAACTCAATTGTTGTTATTCGACGTTGGTAATACACATTGTAGAAAATCTGTCGTATAAAAGTATTACGAGGTAAGAATCGTGAAATTTTCATAGCTATGAGATTACAGATGATTCGAGAAACCTTATAACTAATCTACAATAAACATAGCAAAGTTAATATGTAAGTTTATTGATTTAGTTAAGGATAATTAATTTTTCATTAATTCAGTTTTTTTATATATTCAATACAACTTCTGTACTAGTTTGTTAAAGCAACAATTAACATAAGCAACTGTTTCATAAAACGATATGCATTTCGAGCCTATTTCCCTTCCTTTAAGTGTAATTTCTTAAGAAGTTTCTATATAATATCTTTTTCAAGTGATTCTCAACCGGGGGTACATGTACCCCTAGGGGTACTAGTGTAAATCAAAGGTGTACAGTACATCTAACTTTCATTATAAAATGGCGTATGTTAATCAATTTGCTTTAAATTATTAACACAAGAAACAAGAAACGAAAAAAACTTGCTTCAGAATATCCCAGTGTGAACACAGATTTCCCTTTTAACAGTCTAAACAACTTGTTTATCCACCGGATTTGTCTGTCTGTGCCATTAGACTTGAGTGAACCTGTAGTCTAGTAAAGTTATGGTTTTACTGAGCATTAATTATTTCTCGATAAGATTGGGGCTTTTCGTGTGTTTACTGGACTACTGATATTAGGAATAACGAGGCCTGGATCATATCCCCACCATGCAATGCGTAACACTGCATGCGCACTTACTTGATATTTAGCAAATTTAGATGTTACATTTGTTACAAAAGTTGAAAAATTTATGTATTGTTTTTCACGATATAAATTCGCAGCCATTATTTTCAAGGTCAGTACACAATTATAATATCTATTTAACAACGTGGGAACCAAATTTTGAAAAAATTGCTGATTTATCGCAACAAGTATCCCATTAAATTTTGTTAGAAATTATTGTAGAATAATTTAAATGTTTTTTAATTATAATTATTTATTTTTAGGAAATGTAATTTATGCATGTATTGAAATGACTTCTGTGATTTTATATACTATACTTATCAAATAATAATAAATAAATGTATGTATTTGATTGAATTTATTATTATTTATGTAAAATAAGTAATTCACTTTTAGTTATAGTTAGTTTTTTTATGGTGCTCAGTTAAAAGGACTGTATACATCTAATGCAGTAATTATAAAATTTACATACAAAAATATAAGGAGTACTTGAGAAACTACTAATGCGCTAATGGGGTACATCAACAAAAAAATTGAGAACCATTGTCTTATTCAATACTGTATAACATTATATAACACTGAAGTTCTTTTATGTGAAATATTATAAAAGAGTACCTTTTGTTGGTTGCTGCAATTGAAAAAAACTACTATATAAGTTTTATTCAATTTACTAAAAAGTTTTTAAATGTTGCCGGAAAAGTTGAGCAACTTGCTGCTAGTTTATTTTTATTTATCTTTATAGATTTAACCCATTATATCCCAAATTATTTTTTGCTTAATAAGTTATAGGCCTAATACTTATAATTATTATGTAATTAATATAATAACTTCGGAAATGAGTGTAATAAAAAGTTTTCACAAAGTTATGTAATAAGAATATATTATAAAAATCGAGCAACAAGTTGCTTAACTTTCGCCGCGACATTTAAAATTGCGTGTGTGGTACCATCTGTTATGATATTTTACTTTAAAACATTTTCCCATTTTATAATAATTAAAAATGTAAAAACCTTTATTTTAAGCATAAGAATGAGTTTTATAAACAAACATGTAAATGCTAATAACAAGTAAAGTCTCATTGTACTCAAGATATAAAACACGGCCTCCTTTATCTCCCCATTACGTCGACCTTTAACCACCAAATCTTAACAGTGTTAATACTTCCTGCAAAATTTCAGAAATTTTCGACAAAAAGAATAGGAGTTATTACGCTTCAAAGAGAGTGAAAAAAAAATTGTGCGCCATATACACATAGGCACGCACGCATACATCTACATCGCATCTCACACACTTACACAAACACCCATACATACAAGAAAATATTCGAATGTTTTATATTTTTCGATGTCTCGAGGGCCCGAGTCCAATAATGTAAAAATCTTGCAGGTCAGTTTTTGGACGATCGCCGTACTTTTCCTCTGTTATGTGTAACAGAGCCAGGAAAGTGATAAGAAATACGCTAAAAAATATTGTAGTCCAGATCGGCTCGAATAAAATAACGTCTCTCACGTGGGTTTATATTTTGGTATCACGGTAGGCTCTTTTTTCGATAAAACTGTTTATTGAACGAATTTCCAGGTTTGATCGCACGCTGAGAGATTTTGTCGAAAAGACATGGAAAGTTTCTTATCCGCAGAGTAGAGAGGTTGACAGTTCTCGTCGAAGAAAGGCACAGACACACAAACAGTTCGACGAATGAAGAAGAGTCGAAGGCGACGAGGAATACGGCAGAGCACGAGATTAATCTAAACAAGCCAACTGGCCTGATAGATGCACGAGCAACAAGGTTTGGTGTTCTTGGGACATTGGACTTTGTTACATCTGTCTTTCCGATCGTACATTCGGGATTGGTTTCGTTCTTTAGTCCTCAACTGCTGATTGTTCTCTAACCTTTACGATACCATCTGCAGATGTATACTATCTTGAGACAATATATCATATAAAGAGTTATGTAACTTTGCTTCGAAAACTATTATTTCAAGATAGCTGTCGTTAGAAATTCTATTTATTAAAAGAAATTATTATTTTATTTTTTCAATTAGAATTCTTTGCTTTCGGGAGAGCTTTTAGGTGAGAGATCAACCAGATGCGGTTTCTCACAAAAATACATAAATTATAAATCCGGTGATAGTATCTATTCTTGTGGTAAACCGATCGTTGTAATTACTAAACATGAGATAAAAGTGTCAACCTTTATAGAGTACTTTCTATTTTATAAAAATTGACATCAGCCAAGACAGAGAATTACTCGAACCTCATTGAAATAACGTTTTAATTTTGGCAGCTGTAAATTAATTGATTCAAATGCTTTAGACTTGATTGATGTGTAGGCTAAATTATGTTATTTTATGATGTAAAATAAATCATTTAGACCTAAATTAAAATTATTAGAAAAGAAATCTCAAATTAAATAAATGATAATTGTTTTAAATTTCATTTTAAAAAACAATCTTTAAATATTTTTATAATATAAAAATTATGTTGTAAGTTATAAGAAATCAATTTATGATTGCTAAAAGCAGTGATGAGAGAACTTTTCTTGATGAATATTGTAAGTTAACTTGACAGGCTTTCGACTGGTATTTTTTTTACGGAGTTACATGCTTTAAGAATGCCGAATGTCACCATACTCTACAACTGCTATTATACTAAGTATTAAAATATAATATAAACGAACTAGTCATACCAACATATAATTGTGGCCCGTATTCATCTTTTAAATGATGA